GCTCACAACTGCCTAGCACAGAAGAGTGATACAGCAAGCTATTTTCCTGGGGGTCTATTCAAGTAATTCAATAAATACTTTATTGGTTTAGGCGAATTATTTACTAACCAGGCTCTTGGGCAATCGCTGTGAATAATTATTCAATTCTTTTCACTTGTTTGTCGCCTTGTTTTTTCTTGTCCTTTGTTAATGCTATTCATTTTTATACTTTTTCGCAAACTCCTGTTTCGAATATTTTTAACATGATTACAATAGAATATGACGCTATATGGTTAACTTTACTCTTCGTCTGATGAGATGACTGTCCAAAGTATTCTCTATAGTATTTTATTAGGCGTTCATACATGTTGTGCAAAAACTGACATTGCCACGAATGGAAACACTACATAAAATATCAGTCCAAGAGTTATCTCTCTCTGAACTAGCACACACCATTATCTAACATCACGTAAGAAATTTACGAGAAAAAGAACTTGCGGGAAATGACCATTCATTTCGCCTCTATGTGTTTCAAAGGATAACTCAGCGTGCTTAAGGCCATGGCAATCAATGGCTAATCAAAATTTTTAATGAACATATCATACTGCTTCTATTGTTAGAATGGTCAATTATTCACAGCAGAAGCGCAGTTAATGATTACGTACAAAATAATTAGTAGCGAACGAACTTCGCCTCCGCGTTCCTAGTTCTTATATCGCATCCGATCCCACCAAGAGTAGTCACGACCACAGCGTGGCAGGAAAAGTTTTGCAAATATGATTCCACAATAACGGTGGCTAGCCATTTACTGCTTTTCAAGGTAGAAATAATCGCCTTAAATAGTGTTCCTCTTACCCCTAACCCTAGCAGTACATTTAGCAAGCTCTGTAAACCTCCTTCTTGGAATCATTTTGCAAAACTTTTCCGCCACGCTGTGGTCGACTACTCTTTGGATCAGTCAATAAGAACTAGGAACGCGGAGGCGAAGTTCGTCCCAATTATTGCGTAACATTACTGCGCCTGCGTGATAATTGACCATTCAACAAAAAAGCATGATGAAGTCATAAACATTGATGCCATGATGCCATGGCCTAATGCACGTATACCTTTGAAACACAAGAGCGAAAATGAATGGTCATTTCCCGCAAGTTCTTTTCTCTTAAATTTCTACGGAGTTTAGAAATGGTTTGCTAGTCACGAGAAACTCTTGTGACTATGATGAGTGTCCATGTGCTGTTGGCAATGTCAGTTTGCACAACATGTATGAACGCTATAAATACTATAGAAATACTTTAAGTCATCTCATCAGACGAAGTAAAGTTAACCATTATAGGTCATATCTTGAATCATGTAAAAATAATTCGAAACAAGTTTGCAAAGGTATAAATGAATTAATTAACAGACAAAAAAACAAGGCGACAAACAAGTGAAAATGAATTGAATAATTATTTCACAGGCATTGCCAAGAGCCTGGTTAGTAAAATTCGTAAAACCAATAAAGTATTTAGTGATTACTTGAATAACCCCCAGGAAAATAGCTTTGCTGTATCACCTGTACTAGAAGTTGAGGTATTAGATCAAATTAATAATTTGGATGAATCCAAAGCTCCAGACTGCTATGACATTCCTGCTAAACTGATTAAAGCTATCCAAAGCTCAATTGTCAAACCTTTAACTGATATTATAAATACTTCATTTAGTACTGGTTATTACCCCCAAAGCACTTAAGTTTGCTTTGCTAAGGTATTACCTATATTCAAAGCCATAGGCGTAGACTTGCATTTTTTTCAGAGGGGGCTCAAAAAATTAATGACAATTCCTAATGGCAGCTGCTGATGTCACAGGATAAAAAGTGGATTAGCTAAAGGCTTAAAGGTGAATTTTCCGTGCATTTTTCATTATCGAGGAAGAAGAAACACACAATCTGACCTTATGTTCACAATAATTTCATCCTTTACTTTGCTGTAAACGCAATTATCAAATGCAACAAATCTTATGCGTGAAACCAATAATATAACAAATTAATCTCAAAGTTGGTAAAGCACTTCCTTATTTTCTAGGAGGGGCTCAGCTCCCCTCAGTTTTCGTCAGGAGGTGCTGAAGCCCCAGAGCCCCTCCTAAGTTTA